TTTTTTTTTCCCTCTGGACCAAGAAGCGCAAGTTGCAAGCGACCGCACGACGGCTAAAAAGAAGCAGGACGATTGGATAGCGCTCGTGGCCAACTTTCAATGTGCAACTATTGCGAGATACAAGAACTGTTGTCGTCCACTTCTAGGTCAGCAAACACGATGATGGACGGAAGAAACGTGAAGTCGATGGATGATGCATGGTGCCGCGTTCACGGTTGTCGTGCATCACGTGCCACCCTTCTTGGCCGCATACCGCGTACGCATACCTCATCACGGTTCCAACCATCTATCAGTCACCCTTCACTCACGACTGCTTCTGTTGTGATTGTGCAAGGAAGTCTTTCGTTTGAACACAATCACAAAATCAAGTCATTTCGATTGCATGCAATTTATGCTATCGAATGACTTGAGCTTCTCCAGAAGTGTGTCATCGGAGAATCAGACCCGATTTAGGGACTTGACTCTGACCGGCGCAATCGTGAATCCTGGACCGAGCGATGATGGTACGCCATCAAGAGTCGCGTGGATGAGAGCAGGCACAATCTCAACAGGTCCGAAGTCACGCTGCATCTCAGCTCGGCTCACGATTCGAGATTCACGATACGCCATTGTGATTGCGCAGTCATCCCAGTGAAGCTTGTGTCAAGTTGTCAACGTCTTCTTTGGTCGACGTGGACTTGGAGGTGTTCACGTGATTATAGTGTGGGGAACAGTCAAGAGTCACCAGTGGTGAGTTTGATCATGCATGGGTCTGACGAGTGTTTTTCGCGATGGCGACAGACGTCGTGAGTCGTGAGTGTTTGAGCCGCTGTGTTTTCTTGATCCAGACCAGCTCTGCACTCAGTACTGTAGTAGTGCGTGTGAGCCGCATCGCACCTTGACCTGTTTCGCTTGACAGTCACGAGTCTCCTATACAGTCAAAGTATAGTCTAACGCATCCGCGGCGTCTAGTGTGTGGTGAGCGGAGCGAGCGCGCACAGGTGCTGATGCTGATCTAGAAGAAGATGTTCAAAGCCTGCGGCAGTACCCATTCACACTGACTTGCGAACGCTCGGACCTGCGCGCGCGATCTGAATGCACATCCAGCTGGTCTCATTCAGTTTCATGCAACGATAGTCGTGAGTGAAACAGTCACGATCCACATCATCGGTTCGAGTCTTGGCTTGAAACCGTGCATGCCGCAGAGAAGGAGCACATTTAAATAAATAGTGCACACGGAACTCTGACTGGTCGATCGAAAGCAAACGAGCGCGTGTTCTACTCAAGTCGCAGCCACGAGAGCGGTATGTTGTAGTACCCGTGCTCTCAGCTCGAGCTGAATCTTCGATGAGATCACACAGCTCCATCGGATCTTCAACGGTTCAATGTCAGCTTGCTGGGATCAGAGGAGACTCGTGGGATGGATATGGATCGCAACAGGCAATCACAATGTGCGGGATGCGCCTCACTTGACCCCTTGCTGATGGATGTGGGTGCTGTCAGCGCGCGCGCGCGTGCTGTGCATGAGCGAATGGACAGCCCCGCCCTGCGGCTGGCTGCCTGGCCTCGGCCACACTTTGCCTAGCTACTTGATTGACGCTGACATCAGTCATCAGTCGTGAGTAGAGGCAGGAGATGCGCTGCGCGCGGACGGGATGCAGGAAAACAAATCACATCTTCTAACCAACTCATTGTGCGCGTTTCTGCTGCTCTTACTGAGGCCGCGATCGTCAGTCCAGAGACGAACAAATAGATGTGCTCCTTCTTTTCTTCTGAGACCAAGCCTGACGAGTCTTGCCCCCCCCTGCTCCTAATTGATCTGAGCGGAAGCCATGCTGACGATCATTGGGGATATGATATAGAAGGGCTAGTCAACGTCGGAGTTGATCCCTTTCGCGGCTAGATGCTGGATCGAGCGAACATGCATAGCGAAGAGACTCGTCATCTTCGTAATTCCCGACGGAGAGCAGCGGGACCCGCTCGACTGAGCTCTTGCTGATGCGTGCTTGACATGAGACACGAGACTGCACCAAGTACGATCGTGAATACAAGGCCAAGATTGTTGTTGCTGTTGTAGCCCAGGCTATTTGTCTGTTTGCAAACAGACGATGAGCGAATACGAGCGAAGTGTGCGACTCCATGCTGCTATACTTACTGTACGACTGCTGGCCACTCATTCGAGATTCGAGATTTTGAATCACATTCATGCGCACCACGTACATATTCTTTGATTCTGTTTGAATGTCATACTGCATAGCGCCAACCAGAATTGAAGCGATCTCACGCTGAAATCACGTAGGTAATCACGAATCGAATGTGCTGTCAAAGCCACCACACTCACAACAGACGAACTCTGTCCGCGTCCACGTCGATCAAGCATGATCTGCTGAAGTGCTGACTATGGCACCGTGCGTGTCGGTGATAAGGCTCAGGCCCAAACGCACTCACACCCCAACCCTTCAGGTCATTTCAGGTAGATCCAAGAAGGTTCGTGCGGAAGGATCTATATCTGTGCTCCATCAAAGGGGCTTGCCGTTTCGTTCACATTTGCATTCAGGTTGAGTATATGTACTCGTCCGGCCGAGTGGTGTCACGTCACGACTTCGGACTGCTCGATGAACCTGCTGATGGTGACGATGGTCTGGGGATGAAGGATTGTTCGGCGAGCTCCTGCTCCCCTCGCATCGGGATGGCCCTATATGCTGCTGTATGCAAGCACAGCGCCCGCGCCAAGTGGATTGGCTGAAGCAGCCCACGATCAGGTTGAACGCCCAAGCGTGGGCCCACTCACCAGCACCCACTCATGACTGCACTCACACTACTGTACTTCTCTTGACTCTCATGACTGTCATACATGGATACACACGCGGACATGGGTTAAGAGTTGAGCAGCCAGGTGCATACCTGCAAGCATGTTACTTGATGCGCCTGACTCCGGCTTGCTCCTGCAGTCAGAGTCAGGATCGAGCCTCCAGCCTGTTGCATGATCAGCTAGGCTCGGAATGTGACACTCCACCTCGCTATCCTCCGATACAATCTGGCAGCCGCGGAGCGGCTCCTTTTGAGCCCTTGCGACTTTGCGACTTCTTTGCGCAGAGCAAGCGGCCCGAGCAACTTTCGCGCAGTCACTTGACTCGCAATAAACACACTTTCTGACCATTTTAACACGGTCCGTGCTGGCGCGAGCAAAGTGTGACGAGCAGCTGCAACAGCCAGCGCAAAGGTGGATCAGGGGGCATCTGAGGAGAAGGTGGGGGAGAAGTCCATTCAGATTCAGATTCAGATTCAGATTCACATTCACATTCTCGTGGATTATGTATTCGCGATAATCACCGAATGGCTTGCACATTCGTGATTATTCACGATTGTTGAGCTACAAGAGAGCACCAACTCAAGATCTTTTTGCATGCACGCAGCAGCAGCAGACCAGTCACGAGTTGCTCAGCAAGACAGGGCAGTCCATATGTGCAGCAGCTGTTTACACAGGCGCCCGGCCCGGCGTCCGTCTGATATTGCAGCCCTGCGGCGCATGCAGGTCGCTATAGCTGCATGTGTCACCAGCAGTGTGCGAGGATGTGAATCTGAATTGCGGTTTCGCTGCTTCAGTGCTGCATGATGTGCACCCTTATTGCAAGTTCGCGCTCACAGCTGCGCAATGTGGCCCGTTGCGGTCAGCGGGCGCGTCCGGGCGCTCTTCGGTTGAACGGGCGCCCTTGCTGAGAGGGGCGCTGGCTGCATGCATGATGTTGCAAAAATCTACGCGTGGACTAGTCCAGTGGTGCGCGACGGATGTGAAGCATGTGCTGATGCTGATGAGGCTCAAGCACCGTGCAGCCGTCAGCAACTCCTTTCCTCGCACGCGGCGGTCAAAAGTCTCGAGCCAGCACGCGCGCGCGTGACCCTGACTGTGGAAACCAGCGCAGCAGGTTTGCAGCAGCAGGCACCCAATTGCGCAGGCCTGCTGGCTGGGCGTACCCGTCGTACGCGGATACAACGCAGGGCGGTTGTAAATTCACGATTGCTTCGGGATTGCCGCGTACAGCTGAGTGGATGGAATCGGCCATCCGTCGCATCTCACCTTTGCATGTCTGCGTCTCGATTGCTGCTGCTGCGCCCTCTCATCCAGACCAGCGTGTCTACTCAATCACATCGCTCCCTTATCCTCACTCGTCTCTACCCTGCACCCTCCAATTTCACTTGTCCGTATCCCACATCTGTGATCACACTATCCGATCCACAGTCCCTCTACCGCCTCGCCTCACAATATAGCTCGCAACCGTGTCTTGCTTGCTCCTTGACGACCAACTCAGCACAGCCAACATTCCTAGGTTCGCCAACGCCACCGCCTCTCTCGACTCAATCAGCAGCACTCGACATCTCAATCTATACTTTTGCGGACGTTGTCTCTGCTCGCCGGGCTTCATCGTCGCTGACCCCCATCCGCGAATGGTGGTCAATCAGCTCCCAGGTCAATTGCATCGTACTCTTGACCTGAAAGAAGGAGAGCAGTCGCAAAGGAGGCATCATGCGCGAGTCTAACTTCAGCAATGCTGCTCAGAACAAGGCATGTATTTGCGTGTCCGCGGCAGTTTACGACCGCAGAGGTGAGTGATGCAAGCCATCCGCATGATGAAGTCTCTCTGTCCCTCGTTCCTTTGGTTATGCGATGCTAAAGACTTGTCCCTGTCTCTCGTCCTCTAGCTCTCGACTGCACCGCCAAACTGCCGCTGATCAATTCGCTCAACCACCTCGCGTACCTTACTTCAACCTCGCCCCGCGTGCGCGAAATGGTCACTGTCGACAGCGGCTTGGAACGATTGATTCGCATTCTTCGCGATGTTCCAAAGGCGTCAGGCGTGGGCTCTTCTCGAGGTACCACCACAAAAGAGATGCATGCCATCTGGCAATGGAGTCTGGCCTTCCAGTGCGTCGTCAACATCGGTGTTCGCGGTAGCGAAGCAGTGCGCACTCGAGTGGTCGAAGCGGGCATGGTTCCCATCACCATCAAGGTGCTTGAGAGCCATCTTCTGCTTGCCGAGCTTGCCAGAGCCGAACAGCACAAGCTCGATGTGGAGCAAAAGCGCCGCGAGTGGCTAGACGATGACAGTCGGCGCTTGCAAGCCGAACAGCAGCAGCAGAGCGAACAAGCTGTTGGCGCACGGACACAGGCGCTTCTGACTGACGGGCACCAACATCGTCATCACCATCACCATCAGCATCATGTCCGGAATGCTCATGACCATCAACCACCCTCCCGCCACACAGCTCGGCGGGGAGCGTTGCACGAGGAACTGATTCTCGATGCAGCTACCGCTGCTTTGGCGGCCCGCCGATCAGCGGACGAAGCGTCCTCAGCCTCGACCTTGAGTCTCCCCGCTTCTGGCCACACGACTCGTGACGGCGTTCGCCACACGCATCTCACGACTCGAGTTGCGAACCAGGATTTGGCTAGTCGCCCTTCCACGCCAGCTGAAGGCGAAGTCTCTGTGGCGCCCACAATCTTTCAGCGCCGAGGGGCTGCCGTGCCCATGCCCATACTCGGGGACCTAGGGTCTGGCATGGTCGTGGACGTGGACCAAGCTCAGCAGAGTGTCAACATGACAGCCACCTCGCCTTCCTCTTCCGCCGACGATATCCCTGCTACCCTGGACATGTCGCGCAGTGCCAGTACGAGCAGCGCGACACCTTTGACGGCGAACCGTGCAGGAACGTTGACGAACGTCAGCTCCGTTGAAGATTTTGCTGCATCAGGCAGTGGTAGCGAAGGCGCAGAAGACGCAGAAATGAGCTTCGCCGACGAGGCCGAAGGCGACGAAGCCGATCATGAGTATGACCGCGCATCTGCGCCGGCCTCATTCGCCTCACAAGAAGGGGATGCTAACTCTCGTACTGCCGACATGGACGAAAGGCAGACTCCTCGTCCTTCCAGACGCGTGCTGGCGCCGCTCGGCACGCTCAGTCAGGGAGATGCTGGTCGAAGCGTAACCAGCTCGACCGACGCTACCGTCAACCCCTTCCATGGAAACGGCGAGGTGTCTAGACAGCATGCAGTTCGGATTCCCATATTGCCGACCGAGCAGCCCATCGCATCGACACCGCGCGGCCCGCGAGAGCAGCTTACGAGCCCGACGCCACGAGGTCAGCAACACGCATTGTCAGGCAGACCGACAAGGCAGCACGCTGGACCGGTTGGCTCTGCAGACCCTCAAAGTGCACCAGGGCAGTTGGACACACGCGAGCGCCCCTTTGCTACTCCCACTCAAGCACTGGAAGAGCGTCTCAATGCTGCTGCTCCTACTGAGACCCAAAGGCTCCAGGCCCGGACAGGCGGTGCAGATCTTCAGGCTCAGCCGACAATTCGGCCGGAGTTTGCCGCGACCACGCCACGAGGTCCAAACGCGGCTTTCATTGACCGTGCTCGCACGCAGCGAAGCCAACTTGGTGATATCATCTATCGAGAGGAAGAAGTGCTGCTAAGCTTGCAGCTCCTGGCATACCTCTCAAAGTACGCGCACGTACGTGCTTTGTTCCATCATTCCGAGCTTGCGACCCACGCGCTTCCAGGCTCCCTCGAAGAGCTCGATAGCCTCTACGGTCTACGTCGCGGCGCGGATGGCTCGTCTCGTGGCAAGAGCTGGGACCCGCATCAGCCGACGAAGCCCAACGTCTTTTCCATCGCAGAAGCATACACACTGCGAGGATCGCGTTCGGGCTCAGCGACGCCAACAAGCCACCTCAGATTAGCTCAAGAGATCCAGTACTGGGCTGGTGTGATCATGCGCAATGCCTGCCGCAAGGACGAAGCAAGAGGTGGTATTCGGCAGTGCGCCAATATGCTATGTGGAAAATGGGAGGCCTTTCCACGGGAGTTTGCAAAGTGCCGCCGTTGCCGAAAGGCCAAGTACTGCTCCAAACAGTGTCAGTCCAAAGGGTGGTCGACGGGGCACCGCTTTTGGTGCAGCGCTCGATCTGACGACGTCGAGGCACGTGAGAAGGCCAGCTCTGCAGCCATCTCGGCTACCGTCACCGGACCACAGCGCGCTGCTGCCGAGGTGGCTGACGCTGCACAGGCTGGTGCTGACGTAGCCCAGCCTCACCGACACGAAACTGCACGCCAAAACCTCGCTCATGCTGCTACACATCATGACAGGCCTCCGAGATTCTTTGAAGCTGAGACGCGTCAAGAATTCCTCGATGCAACACATCTGCACACACCTGTAATAGACTCTGATGGCGTCACGGCTTTGCGGCCGCGACCATCTGGTCTACCGCAGAGGCTTGCTGCTCAGCACCCTGGACGCGCATCGCCGCATGTCCGTCCTAGCTCAAGCAGCAGCACTCGCACTTCCCTGACCTCTGACGCGAGCGATGACGAGCGTGAGCGACAGGCTCGGAGCGGCGAAGGAAGCGTCAATCCAAGTCCGCTTTCGCGCACGTCTACAGGTCATGATGAAGATGCCTTGGGTCACAGCCAGCCCGCGCCACCACAGCGCACAGACTTGGCCGGTCGACCACTACCGCCACCTGTCATTGCTCAGCACGATGGCGCCGCAGGCTTGAACCAAGATCTGATGGCACTTGGCGGCAGATTGACACCTAACATTGAGGAAGCAGTGGACACAGCTGCAGCCTTTGGCACTGGCGATTTTGACCAGATGATGTGGCGAGGACGCACGCCTGCACCCAGCGATGCGGGCGAAGATGGTGGTGGTACAGAGGATGAGCAAGTGCGACCTCGCCGCGATCATCTTCGACACTTGCGCTACCGGACAGAAACGGAATCTGGAGCTGACGACGAGTCTGCCTCTGCAAATGAGGCGTCCAGCAATCCCGTACATGCAACTCTTGCTCGCCAACCGCACAGATTCGCGAGCGTTGCCGCTGGTAACGTGCCCATCGTTAGCCATCACGTATCGATGCGCAGTGCTGGCGTAGAAGCGCCCCCACCTCACCTTTTCGCCGGTTCTAGCTCTGGGATCGGCGCCGGGCTGGGAGTCTCATCTGCCTCAACTGCCAGCGCCTCAAATCGCCGCGCACACGCGTACGGCGGCCTTGGAGTTCGTCGCTTGCCTACGGGTCCAGCATCTGCCTATCTGCCTCGTTCAGCATCCGGCCTGGCCAGTGCACCCGCTTTTGCGCGAAATTTTCGCTCGGAGGAAGATGACGATGATGAAGAGCGCGACAGCGAGTCTCACGTCCAACAGCAGCTTCCTTCCAACCTCGCCGTCACTTCACGACCGGATCAGCGCGAATCAGTTGATGGGACCACCCGCGTGCAGCCGAGCGCCCGCACTTCGCCAATGCAGCGCTCTACCTCTGGCAGCGCAAGCTGGACATGGCAGCAACACTCCAACATCTCGCCACCAAGCTTTTGGCAAGACGGTGATGCTGACATGACAGAGCAGGTCGTAGTAAGCCGGTGCGAAGGTGACGACTGCTGCACATCTCAGGGCGCAGACGTCGGTGCTTGCACGCCAAATCAATGGCACGACGCCACCACAGCCACCATGCATCAATCGAGCGACATCCAGAATTATCGTGTCGCCAGGGCTCTAGCAGAGACTGTTTCGGCGCCCTCTGGCTCTGCATTAACGTCCGTCAACTCTATCACCAGCGATGAGCACATCGTTGGCTGGGAAGACCATGGCGGCTTTCCTGTTCCCATATATGCGCATCAAGTCGCAGCGAAGAACAGAAAGCGCAACTTTGCTACCTTCCGCCGTCAAGAAGCGTCAACACAGTTCTCTGCAACCGCTTGGAACGCGCCCAAGAATCGCCTTTCGCCACCAACGATGCCAACAAGCGTCTTCGAACCAATCGATGCGCCGACCTTTTCCGGGCGCCTTCATCGCAACGGCGTGGGCGCTGCTTACCGTATAGACGCTTCTGCTATGGACGTGGACGCCGAGCGATGACGATCAGGTCCGCTCCCATCGGCTCGCAAACTCCGTCTGGGAGCGTGGAGCATTCACTTCCCTCACCGCCCGTTCTCATGACCCCTCTGTCAGCTATGATTACCATTCTCGATATCTCACATTGCTCGCCACATCCTGCATGTCCCCTTGCCTTGCCACCACACCGCATCAACACAGCAACACTTCTCACTCTGAAACCCATCGATGCTATCAGGGAGGTCATGCACGCACACGCCTGCCCTCCCTTGCCCCGTACTTCCTCCAATGAATCAGTATCATAAGCATGATTGGTGCGCGGACTCGCTACTGAATGGCTTCTCCAGGTCACATGCAGCCCTTCAGTGTGTTCAAAGAGAGCTTGCTGTAGATCCCGAAGCGACTTGCACTCTTAAAAGCGCCTTCGGCGTCTTGATCCCTTCGCCCGTTATGCTGACAGATAATGCAGCTTCCGCCCCAAGCGCCTGCTTCTCGAGAGTGGTGAGTGGCTGCTGTCCATTCAGAGTGGCAGTGCGTGTGCGACTTAAGCGAGAGGAGAGATGAGCCTGTGCGAGTGCGAGTGCGGGGATGATCAGCTCAGGCGCGCATGGTTGTTTGCAGACACGAGGGTGACGTGGTTCGGCTCACTTGATCAAGCTCGGCCTTCCACCTTGCGTGTAGCCGATGTAGAGCACAAAGGGCACCCAGCTGTGAGAGGAATAAAGATGGGGGTAGAGGTGCGATTGAATGTGTCAGTGCGCCATTTGTGTCAAGACGGGGGCTGATGATGGGGGCAGGCCTGAGGGTGTTTCTGATCACTCCTTTTTTTTTTAGAAAGTGCAGCTGTTCAAGTCTGCGCCTTCAGTTGCTCACCCGTAGTGCAAGACTTGCTTGCCGAAGTCGACGGTGCGCACGATGCGCTCCTTGGAGTCTTCGGAAAGGGCCATCTTGAAGCGCTTTTTTTGTCTTTTGTTTTGTGTTCTGCGAAGAAGGAAAGAAAGATAGCCGAGGAAGGGCAGGTGCGCGGTGATGAATGATCTGAGCTAGGTTGGCTCGAGGATTGCAAAAGAGAAATGCGCGTCGAAGGAGCGCTCACCTAGCTGTCTCCTGTCCTGATTGACGATGAGCTCCCAGCAGCGCTTCGCTGCACACAGATGATCTGTGGAGTCGTGGGAAGTCGTGGGATGGAGAGAATGTGGAGCGAGATGCAGCAGCCAGTTGTGTGTTGCGCTGGATGGTGGGTTGAGATTCGATTCGAGAGGTTTGGCTTGATGCGCGAAATCTGGGAGAGAGAGGTGCATGCATGCAGCTGCCGTGAGTGCAGTTTCAAGATTCCAAATTCAAATTGTGATTGAGATGGAAATCACAAATCACCAATGTGCGCCTCCACGTGGGCCCGGCTGCACCATCTGTAGGTACAGGTACGTACCACTCACATTCACATTGCATATGAGTATAGGCGCGTCAACCGTGCACAGCCCACAGCAGATCGCGACTGTGAGAGACATTGATGGGTGTTCTTACATTCAAGTCTGTCTATCACGACTCTCAACACTGACCGCTGTCCTCACTTCTCGCGGCCCATGCCCGCGAAATACGACGGCTTCTCGCTTCGTCCTTGCTGCTATCAGTTCTTCGCAAATGGGCTGCACTGGGTGCTGAATCGACGAAGCGCCTCCTCAGCGAGCAGGTGAGGGCGAGACGAGTCTCTCACCTGTCCTAAAATGCAACACCACCAGCCAAGCACCAGCGTCGACTCTCCCGGACCAGATGCGCTGAGTCCGGCAGCTTCGGATGTAGGCTCACTAGCCTCTGGCTTTCCCAGCGCATCTGGTGCAGCCTTCACTCCTTCCAGCGCGAGTGGTAGCGGACGCTATGGAGGTAGCTTGCTTGCGGGCGCTAGCTCTCTCAACTTGGCATCACCTGGAGGTAGCAATTCCGGCGTAGCAGGCTTCAATGGTGAGCGTGCACGTCCTTCGAGATTTCCTCAACGTGCTATACGCTACCTTGACTGTTTGTCCATTGCATGCGGCGCATAGCTGACCTGTCCGCGGCGCCCGCGCATGCTCATCCTGTGCAACAGCCATTTCGACCGTGCTCAACAATCCTCACAGATCATCTCGTCCTATCGATCCCTCTTCGTCT